CTATAAGCCATTTCAGTATGATACATTCATTACCGGACACCCTGTATTAAAAGCACTTAAAATGTTATATTTCGGACATGTACTTTTAAGTAAGGTAACCAAGGTATTTGAAATTGCTATTACTAATGGTAAGCTTAATTATACCCAGCCGGCAGCCTCCGGAATACCTCGGCAAGCCTCCAATGGTTCATTTCATTTTTCAACCATGGTTATTCACTCAAAATCTTCTCTTTTTGGAAAATAGTTCACTTCTTCAGCCAGACTATCACTTTCAAATATACAATGATAATATACGAAGTTGCAACGTCACGAGTGTCCTGAAGAGGCTAACCGCGAGCACGATGTCACAACGGTGTGCTTCGGCACACAAGGACATCGCGGCATAAACTGCCGACAGTGTACGCTTGCTTGTAGGGATGCCAAAAGATCCCTTCCCCTGCCGTCCCACCATTGGGAGCCGGGCCTTAAGATTGGAAAGTAAAAAGTTAACTAATCACTAATCAGGTAATATAAGCACTAGAAATCAAACTTAAGTCCTGACTTGAGCATTGAGCATTGAGTAGAGTTCTGGAATACGACCCTGAGACATTTATTTTTACTGTTACGAAATTTAGACATTTATTTTGCTATAAAATTGTATTTACAAAATTATAACTAAAAATAGTTTGAAATAAAATTATTCACTTTCACTTAAACCTTCAGGAGCAGACTCTGTCTTGATTTTCTTCTGTGGTGGTTCAACATTACCATTAATTTGAAATGCTTTCCGTTTCCTCTTGTTCTTCTTTTTCTTTTTCTTCTGATTAGCATTTTGTTGAATTTGAGTTTCATTTGATTTAGATTTATTGTTATTCTTAATCTTAACAGTCCCCTTGCTCGAACTAATAAATTCTGACAATGCGTTAAAATCTATACTGGAGTGAAGTTGGCAGCTTGTATGGAAATCTTCCATTGTTTTGAGCAATTTTTTCAATACGACAAAAAAGTTATTTTTCACTTCGAAATCTTCTCTTTGTAAGGCGTTCTTCAACGTGTATTCAAATTCAGATTCCATTTCTGATAGTGTTTTTAGTATTTTATCAGATGTGGGTTTACACCTTTTCAAGGAGCGATAGAAACCTGCTATTAGCTCCAAGCCCTCGTTCCGACGGAATTGACGTACTTCGTTACTAAAAACATTCTTTACTAGAATGGGAACTATTTCGTAGTTTCCATCCCACTCGCACTGTAAAACGTTGTGGAAGAAAATAATGGGGAGTAAACAATTTCGTTGCTGGAAATAATTCTGCAGAGCATCTTTGAAGATTACTACTAATGGCGATGAAGTATTTTTGCTCTTGGCTAGTGATTTAGGTTTCCTGATTTCAATTTTCTGTGAGCAGTGTATTATAAATGTTGCAAAATAAGTTATGACGTCACCCAAAGCTTGAAACATGAAATGTGACCTTGAACCCTTGTCTATCGTAGCTTTCAAATAATCACATAAAACGTCAATAGTCACGTCTGCAGTTGTCGAAAATTTTCGCATTTTTGTAAGTAACTTTATTGTTTTTCTGACTCTGTTGCCGAGTTCAGTAAACTGCGAATCGGCGAGGCAGAATTCTAAGCATCTTGTAAGAGGAGCGATCATGCCTAAGCATATGTCCATTGATGGATCTTTTTCTAGATAAATATCTAAAAGATCAAGAGCCCTTATTCTAAAGTCTGACAAAGCCTTTTTGTCTTTACGCTCTTTCTTTAATTTTTTTCCTTTCCCTGTGTGGAATTGTTTAAAAGCTTCTGCAAGAGCTTCATCAAGTTTCCTGCCCTCTTCTTCGTCAATCATATCGGCATCTACGCTCTCTGCATCAGATTCATTTACAGCAACGCCAAGTGCTTTCTGGACAGCCATTCTGAGTTGATCGGGGGTTTTCATCTCTTGATCATCATCATCATCCTCTACATCACTGTCACTTTCGTCATCCTTGTTTTCGTCCTCATTCTCTGTATCGTCACTCTCGTCATCATTTGCTACCCCATCTTCAGCTTCAGAATCGCTACCATCTGTCAGAGGATTATCTTCGTTTTCGGGATCTAACACAGACACAATCTGTCCAATAGAAGTTGGTGTAAGATACTCCCAAAGAAGCCTAAACACGCATTGTACAACTGATCTAAGAACACTTGATTCCGCGGACAGGATAGAAAGCAAAACTTCAACCAACACCTCTATCCATTCTGGTTCATCGAATAAGTTTTCTTTCTTGGGTTTTTTTTTCTTGGTTTTCCTGAAATGTTCATAACAGCTCTTTAGCTCCTTTATTGAACTCTTGGCCAGTTTCACATATGTAGGATCTGAGAACAGGAACAGACCAAGTTGATATAATAGAATCAAGAAGACTTTATCAATTTTTGATTTGTTATCAATCTTCTCAATAGTCTCAGTAACTTCTTTCAGCATGTTCCAGCATTCCATATTCTCTTCAGGGAACTGTTTTTCCATTTTAGCTCGAACTTCTTCCTTTTTCAGGATAGCACAAATAAAATTACATAATGAAGACAAGACTGTAACTAAATTATCTACTTTGGAGAAATGTGACGTGAAGCAGCGGTAAAAACAGGACTTGATAGAACCTGAAATTTAAAAAAAGATGCTATCAATGAAAGATCTCTAAGTAATAAACAACAATGCAATACATTTAAAAAGGGCACACATTTTTTAAAGCTTACCTGATAAGTCACTGCTAACTGGAACATTTTCGTCTCCCCCAATCTTAAAGAATCCAAAGCACATCAATATTTTCATATATGTCAGTCTGAACTCTGTATCATCTTTCATAGTCTCATGGCTAACCAAGTAAGACAGCAACTCTGCAGCTTTTACCCTTTCATTGTTATACCAGTTTCTTTCCACATTCTCCTTTATAGCTTTCTTAGACGTATTAAGAAGTACACCCTTGAAGAGCTTAGCCATTTTTTTTACTCCATCCTTGTCCAAATCAGCTATTGTAGCTTTAACAATAGATGTTCCTGTAATTTCTGTGAAATTCATTTCTCCAGGATTCAGAAGCAGCTTTTTTAGTACTTCAATCCTAACTTTACTGTTAACTTGTTCTGATTTCATAGCCTTAGCCAATGCATTGAGGAGTTCTTTTTCTTTTTTAATCATGATTTTGTGATCATCTTCATTATCTCTTTTGTTTCTGATTTTGCTGGCAGTTTGGAGCCCTTTGAACCAATCCATGAAAAGTTTAAAGAAATTTCGACTTAATAATTCTGGTATTATAATGTAATTTTCTTTTATATTGTTAAGTATGGCAGTTAGAATGTTAATAGCAACTAGCTCTCTGTTACGATTGTGTTTCACAAGGTGTGAGTCAATGCCTGTAGTCCAAAAATGTAGTAAATGTGGTGAGTTAGCAATTTGAGTACCCACTTCCTTAAAGATTGGATGGTTGGCAGTGTTGAAGTCAATACCTCCCTGAAAACGTAATAATTTGCATGTTGATAATTTTCACTAAATCACAGTGTCAGGTAATAAGACAATTTGAAAATATATAAATTAACTGACTTTTCTGTGAGTTGTGGCAGTAATGTTACTATTAACCATAACACATTGGCAGTTAATTTTTCTATTGTCCCTAAACAAAGTAGCATTAGTTAGATTTATATCCACTTTACAAGAAAATAGGGGTAATTTCAAATATATTTTCTCAGATATTGAAAATCTAAAGAACAAACTTAAACAGTAATGACAGTTTTTTTAACTTCATTAAATCTTTTATATTGGATGTTTAATATTCTAAATACATAAAATCTCACCATAAGTTTGTCACAAATATCCTGTAAATTCTCTTCAGCCAATATCACGGTAGTACCAATGAGCTTCTTAAGCTTCACTTTGTTGGAAAACTTTTGGCTGACCACGATTAGAAAGTAAATTGAATCTAATGTGTGTTCTTTGAGTTCTTTCTTAAAATCTTCTTTTATGTGCGGCCAGATCATTGTTGAAAACTGTTCTTCGTTTAGCTAGGGAATAACGAAAAAATCCTTTTGTAATGAAATTATGTGTATTTTATATAGACAATTATATCACAAGGCTTTTTAAACCACCACCAAGAGACTATCTCTGTTAAATACATTTAACAACTTGGTCACAATTTTTTTTGGGTATGCATTAAGGGCCAGTTCTGATAATATGCGTTTTGTTAATACATGCTTAGAACTATACAGATTTTCTTTATAAAACTTAGAACTTATTATAGTTGATGAATTTACTACACTTTGCTAATACTATTTATAAATAAAATTGTAAATACATTTAGCTAGATCTCTTTTTATTCATTCGACATTTTTTTTTTGACAATATAGCTTGTCAAAAAAAAAATATGACATTTAAACATATTTCTTCTTTATGACCATTGAGTTTCATTGAACATCATACTCAGACTCTAACATCTTCTCTCAATGAATACTCAATCGACAAACTAATTTTTGTAGCCTGGGTCTCGGTAGAGCTTTGATAAAAATATCCGCCAGTTCTCCTTCACTTGACACCTTCTTTACTGTAATCTCTCTCTTAGTTACCAGCTCTCTGATAAAAAAAATTACGTATTCGGTTATGCTTTGTACGCCGATGAAATTCCGGGTTTTCCGCTAGTCTTATTGCTGCCTCGTTATCAACTTGCAAAGTTGGTTTAGCTTTCACTCCAATTAGACTTGCCATAACCCGAGCTAACCAGACTCACTCCCTTGCACCTTCACTGGCAGGTACAATCTCCGCTTCTGTAGTAAAAAAAGCTACACTTTGTTGTCTCTTGCTCATCCACGAATAGTTCTTCCGGCATACACGAATAGCACTTCTGAGGTTGAGCGCCCCGTATGTACGTCTCCGCCATGATCTGCATCACTGAAGCATTCCAGAACACCCTTATTTCTGCCATAATTGATTCCGAAATCTGGAGTATACTGCAGATATCTCATAATCCGCTTCACCCTGACACAGTCATCATCAGTAGAACTATCGAGGCTTCTTAACACCACACTGACAGCATACGCTTTGTCTGGCCTTGTCCCGACCATCAAATAGGCTAGTGCTCCAACAATCTGCCTATATCTCTGTTTGATATCTGAATTGCCTCTTTGTTCAGCGTGTGTTTGTCCATTATTCACAATAGGTGTTGATACCGATACCATTGATGTTTGCATTGCTCCATGCCAAACCTCTTCATCAACTTCTTTGTGTAGGAAGCCTGATGTGTCTTCTCTGTGTTCTATCTCTATACCAAGAATGTAAGACGCAGGTTTTGTTGTGATTCTAAAACCTTTACTCAATAGCTCCAGAAATTCTTCCACTAACTTCTCATTTGAGCCTGCTACCAGCCCTTCATCCACGTACAGTGCGACAATAAGTTTTCCAGCCTTAGAATTTCTAATAAGTAAGCATGGATCTGCTTCACTTACTATAAATCCGATCTCCTTGAAGAAATTCATTATGCGCTTATTCCAGCAGCGCGGAGCTTGCTTTAAGCCATAAAGACTTAGTTTTAAAAGACATACGCGTCTGTACCATCATCATTTCCTTCGGCTTGCTTCGTGTAGATCTCTTCATCAAGGTATCCATATAAAAACGCAGTTGTTACATCAAACTGTCTAATAGCCATATTTTCACTAGCAGCTATGCTAAGTACCGCTCTCACTGTTCCTAGTTTAGCAACAGGGCTAAAAGTTTGATCATAATTAATTTCCTCTTTTTGTGAATATCCTTTGACTACCAAACGCGCCTTGAACTTGTCTACCGTACCATCTGGGTTGTGCTTTACTCGATAAACCCGCTTACATGGTATGCACTACCTTTTCTCCAGTAGGTCTACCAGTATCCAAGTCTTGTTTTCTTTTAACGAAATTTCGCTGTGTTTACGCCATTCACTGGTATTTCGAGATTTTATTGCTCCTTTGTAAGTTTCTGGATCAGAATTGTGCCATGTTCCGTACTCATGATATAATCTTTAAATCTTTCAGGTTGTTTCAAAGTGGTGCGATTACGTAACTCCATACAATGAATTTCTTAAATTTCATTTGAATTAATTTTTTCTACCGCTTCATTTATTTCCTCCCCAAATTCATTAGACGTTTCGGCATCATTAAAAACTTTCTTAATCATGATCATCCGAGTCTATTGGAAACATCTGATTTCTACTACCTTCACGACTCGGATTGTCTTCTCTGACTTCACCATCACTGACAATACCATCTTCTTCTCTAACTTGAACGTCGTTCTCTGCATTATGTTGCATTCGGTCCTTTAGAGGTTGAAGGTATGTTCCAAAATTCATAAGGAATCTCGCCAGTATCCTGATCACTCTCTGGATATGTGTCCCTCTGTCCTTCGAGTGGTCTTTCATTGAAAGTCACGTCTCTTGATCTTATGATCTTGTTTGACTTTTCAATCCAAAGCCTGTAACAATTATCGTCGTCATATTCAAGCAACTTGCATTTGACAGCCTTCTTGTCCAATTTCAGCATAACACGACGCTCCGATTATTCTCAAGTGCTTTATCTGTGGTTTTTTACCAAACCATAGTTCATAAGATGGTTTACCTTTATATAGTATTTTTTTTATAGTAGTAGTAGTATTTTTATATAGTAGTCGGTCCAGTTCTGTTCAGAATGTAAACAGCTGTTTTGACTAACTCAGCCCATAACTTCTGAGGTGATTCCTCATGAGCATACATCATTGAACACGAGCACTCTATTACCTTACGATTTTCTCGTTCGTTCAAACCATTTCGCTCTGGTGTATAGGGCGTTACCAGGCATTGAAAAACTGTATGCTTCCTTTGCCTACTGCCTTGACAATATTACCGTCCGCCGTAGTAACGGTGTGAATCTCTCCAAATTCGTTGAAATCCTTAAATAAATATGCTCGCATCGTTACGAAACCAGTTGCTCCATTATAAATATACCACATCTCAGGATAATTCTCAGCAGAAATAGCAACAACCGAAGTTAGCGTCATGCTAGACATACGCACAATTCGTACATCCTCAGGTTTCGTCTTTCCAGAATTCTTCTTAGTACAATGATCTTTTTCCTTGCATATATGCAAGGAAAAAGCAGCGTCTGCTCTCCTCTTTCGAAGTATCCGAATTCTGTTTTAGTACCTTCTCAATTTTCTTCTGTTTATCCATCTTCACAGTAAAAGCTTCAACTCCAGACTCTCCGTCGTGACAGTTCAACAGTGCCTCCCCGTAAACACATAACTGACTTGTTAAACTTTCTACTGTTCTGTCCTTCTTTGACATTAGCATCCAACTTGCTTTAAATGAGAAATATGTATCCAGCAAACTATCCAAAATCTTACAGATTAGCAGAAACTCCGATAAATCTGTACCTTCACCTGATTTGACTAACTCCTGCTTCAAAGTATGCCACAAATTATTCAATTTCGAAATACAAGCTTCATACAAACAGTCCTCATTCATGCCGTCGTACAGCCAGTGCAACTCATCCCATACATCCTTAGGGTGACAGAATCTCATCACTTTGTCCAGGATTTCATCTGAGATGTTGTTCGTGTTCAAAAGCAATGCAGTGCTTAAAGATCTCTTGTATTCTCCTAGCATCTGATTGTGCTCCCCAAGAACAGAAGTGTCACCATCACCGGTAGCAGCTACTGGTCGCTCAGGTTCTTGTACTTTGTTTTCCACAATGTCCATTATTCCATCGATGCCATTAAGCTTTGCGGACATGCGATAACGCCATTGGACCCAGTTATGTCCATCCAATTTCATAATCTGAATTTTACATAACTCCATTTTGATCAGATTTTTCTGCGTAGTTTCCCAAAACTTCAATAAATATGGCCCATAACCACTTAGAACTCATAGTTGATGAATTTACTACACTTTGCTAATATTATTTATAAATAAAATTAATTTTATTTATATCTTTTTATTTTTTCGACATTTTTTTTGACAAGCTATATTTAAACATGACATTTAAACATATTTCTTCTTTATGACCATTGAGTTTCATTGAACATCATGCTCAGACTCTAACAATAAATAGCCATGGGTGTTCAAATGCTGCAGTGCTTTTAACAATTTGTGTATTAAAATAAACCTCATTGTCAGTGATAATACAATAATAATAACACGCACACACTCATAGCCCCTTACTAGGGAAACCCTGTGTCGCGGATGCAATGGATACACACAGAGACAACCACAAATGACATAAAAACTCACGAGAGAAATAAATGTAGGCCATATAAATATTTCTCCCGGCACAGAAATCAAACCTGGGGCCTCTGCATGGCATCCAGCAAGGTAACCGTTTGGCCACTGAGGCAGTTATACAATTCTTATTCAACTATTTACCTGCCTTCGTGATCGAATGATTACCAAGCTGGACTGCCACACAGATTTTTCTTAATTTACCTTTTAGTTATCATCCTTATGCTATGTAATTAAATTAAAATAATGGCATATAAAGGTTGTTTTTATGGCAATATGTACATACCCTATTAAGAAAATCCAGCAGTATCAAATGTGTAACAGTGTTCAAGTAGCTTTTCTTCTTACTAGCAGCCAGCAACATATCAACTACCTGTTTCTGTTCATCTTGAGAGCACCGTAACATCAGACCAGAACGTAATATAGATCCACATGCCAGGATTTGACCCAGAGCTACATCTCCAACTTCCTACAGGTGATTTTTTAATAATGATTAATACTTAATGTGAACATATAATTAAAGAACACAGCATTAATTACGTAAAGTTCATTTGCCTCATTTTTAATCTTAAGTAAGTCAATTCAGAGTCTTTTTAGCCCTTTAATTAGTGAGAATTACATGATAAGATCTTTTGTTTTTCTTCCGTGTTCATTTTTACAGGTTATATTGTATACTTACACTTTTAGAAGACCGACTAGCGTGCAGCTCCTTCTTAATTAGCTCGAAAAGTTGCGAAGCACTTATTTGGTCGAACTTCGTGAGCAGCCCTACGAGAGTCGCAAAGTACCCTGTTCGCACTTCGGGAACATTCGCGCCTAGACTTCGCACTAATCTTTTCAATACATATTGCAGGCATTTTTCACTCTGAAATTTACATAAATTAAGACGGTATAATAATGTTGCTTCGCTAGCACCTGTTTCATTAACACATAATTATGTTAAGGTCGACAAAACAAATTTAACAGTTTTCCTAACCTCATTGCCCTGAAGACTCGCTAAAATCTTAGCGCCACCGGTTAATTTCGTGTCATCTTTGGGATTTCTCAGCAACTCGAAATGGTCCAAAATAGAAGCAGACACTGCAGCTTCTTTCTGAGAAGCGTTTGTTTCACTCAAATCCTTCATTTTTAATAACATTTACATCTGAATAACAATAAAAACCACATGGACAGAAACATCATTCATTTTCCGTTTGCCGCGGCCACATTTGGCGAAAATGACACTTGCTGATATGACTTTTTTTTTCCAATGTGTTTCTTGGTTTTCAGTATTTGAATGACCGTACAGAATGAGAAGTATAGAACACTACACACACAATATTTTGTTTCTTTTCTCTACTACTATCTATACATTTACAACCAGAAAATAACCGCACGTTTTTGTTACGTTTCAAATTGCAGAAGACGTATAATTATAGAATGTTGATTTAATCAAAACCCGTCAACCTTGCTTGATGCTTGAACAGTTTAACAAGTTTTGTGCTTGGTTTACAATTTTTACAAATATTTATTGTTGCACTGTAAATGTATATAGTTGATAATTATGACAATACAAAATTGTATCTATTAAGAATTATGCGTGCAATGGAATGTAAAAGCCGCTAACCATCGACAATTTTTGCGAGATTTTCCAACAAAGATGTATATGTTAACTTGCTAGATGGTGCAACGTTGAAAACACATTTCTATAATTTGTAACTAAAAATTGTATTTTTTTTTATTTATTGTAATTAAATATAAATCAATTCATCACATTGTTCAGCAAAAAAACTGTATGTTTTTAGTGATATAAATAAAAAGTATTAGAATTTTCTTTTGCGATTTGTCTCATCCAGAAAAAATTACGCGCGCGACTGTATTAGTCTATGTTTCTAAACATGGCAGGTCGCAGTGGATACGATGATGGAAATCCGAGGTATTTATTTAATTTTGATGATTCCACCACATGTGTGGTGTTTTAAATGACGCATAAATAGTAGTTTTCAAAGTATAAACTCAATGTAGTGTACTTTGATTGTTTCTATTAATTAAATTTGCTTGTTTTGACAACGCGATAACATTGAATGAAAGTGGGATTTTTAGAAAAGATCGTGGATTAACACGATAACGGGTGTGGAAAAGGGTAGTTTATGGGCTGTTTTGTGCGTTTGGATCGGTGTGTTAGTGTATATTAGAGATTTTGTAGGTTATAATGCACCATGGTTACGGGGATGCTCGCAGGGACTTTGGAGGCGGCAGGAGGACGCTGGGAGGGCGCCCGCTGCCCACAGAACCTCCCTACAAGGCGTACGTGGGAAACCTTCCCTCTGGAATCATCCAAGGCGATATTAACAGAATTTTCCCAGTAAGTAACTGTAATTTCATTATTCTTTGTGCAGTTATATTTTTTTTGTGGAAATTAAGTATGTGCCTGTGAAGTGTAGCGCTACTGATCCTATTACATTGTAGCGTTGTTCATTAAGGTTGGAATAATATCTTTTCTTAGAAAACTATTTCAAAAGAACCTCAAAATGTAATGTGTATACATCTAATGCTTAAATAAATTTGTTATGAGTAGAGGCATTCATATAGTATTGTGCATTGAGAAAAATAAAGTTGAAGATCCATTGTATCTGCCTGCTCCAATGGGAAACAGGCTTAATGTATGTAAAAATTACTTAAATATACTACTAAATACAATAATAATGCATAAATTTTAGCATTAAACTTTTTACATATCACTTACAGTTAAAAGAAACTATATAAATATAAAAAGAACATCATTATGTGCATTTCCATTCTCCATACTATATTACATGTACATAATTATAATGAGACGTGTTATATTGTTTGATACAAGGTCAATTAATTAGCACTGCTTTTTTATTTAGCTCACTGATATCATTTTTGACCCTAATTGCTTGTAAATTGATTTTGTGTCTTGGAGATTTTAATCATCGTCATCATCACCCCGTAATTCATTCCACTGCTAGACACTGGTCTCACTAAGGAGACGGTTTAATTAGGTATGTTGTAATGGTCTATAGAGGGATTCCTGCCTGTATGGTAGTGAATGTTTAGTTTGGCAGGAGAAGCATGAATATTGAATTGATGAAGAGCTTTGCGAAATATTTCTGGAGCGTAGACAAATTGCGGAACAGTGTGATAAGAGAGTGATGTGGCATGGGAGATGTGGTGAGGATGATTAACTAAGACTGAATATGATTGACTAACAGATTTATAAACATGTCTGAATGGGCAAGTTCATAAGGGCCGATCAAGGAAATGTATCATAACCAAATTGAGGATGGCTAAAAGAAGGTAGTAGTATTAGATCAAGAGTAACCTTAATTAATGTGCATGATTATAAAGCATTGATGCATGTTGATAAGGTGAAAGATGTGTGTCAGGATCATAGCAAGTGGAAGGCTGTGATCTCTACTTGTCCCGGTGGGACAAGGGTGTGCATCTCTGTATTGTTGGATTCTTGTTTTAGTCTACCTGTTTTAGTGCACTATAGTAGGCGGTTCTGACCATCATGGAGAACACAATTTACAGGTTGAAAATGTTTATTCATACATATTATTATGGAACAACCTCCTTCTGAGGATCATTGAGAGCAGAGACGAGTCATACATTAAAACTAAACTACTTTAGTTTTTAAGTTTATTGAATGCCATTAAGTTTATTGAATGCCAAGATATTCTACTACCATGATATGCAACAGCAAAAAAGTTGTTACCAAAACAAAGATCTGCAACAGGTACATAGAAAAATTCATATGGTCTGCTGGTTCGTTCCGTGGCTTAGTTGGCATTGTGTCTAGCACGATTTGCTGGAAGACGCTAGTTTGGATCGAGCTAGATCGAAGGATGTTTTAGTAATTACTTTCGTATTGACATATATATATACTATAAACATGTGTGTTGTAATGGGGAATGCACAACTTATCTAATAAGTCCTCCTATTAGATGAGTTGCGCGTTCATCATAGGTGTGGACTTATATTAAATTATATACTTACATTGTCTTTATTTACACAGAATTGACATCTTCAGTTGTAGATTTTTTTTACTCAGTATAGCAACAATAAAAATAAGAATTACTCATTGGTTTGTATTGGTTTGTGGTGTTTGCTTGGGGAGGCTTATGTAGTGGATGATGATGATTTGTGTAGTTTCAATCTTAGTTACATAGGCCATTGCAACAGCCACAAGTAGCTTTTTTGTTTATATTTTTTTATAGTGCTAGCGACTACTAACCATATCCCAGAAAATATAAAAAAAGAACATGGTGGAGGATAAAATACTAAAAAAATGTAACCTTTTGAACATTGATAAAAATATTGTTCAAATAAGAGTAATGTCACTCTAAAAGGTTTCAGGTAAAATAAAAATAACCCAATTAATATTTAAAATTAAGTTAATAAATATGTTGGGGATTTATTGCCCATTATTTTCTCTTTGCAGGGAATCCCCAAGTCATCAAAAGTACTTAGGTAATGACAATTCCTGACTAAATGTTCAATTTGATAAATACATATCAATTATTGATTACAATTACTTTAATATACATTACACATTCGTAATTATGTACTCATTAGAAAAGTTACGATAATTCTAAATAGTAATTTTATAATTGGGACTAATTTGTTTAGATTTTGTAACGTAAATGTCAGCAGAGAAGATTCCGAGAATTACTAATATTTAAAAAGAAAAACAAGTAATTAAAACCTAGTACTCAATTACATTTCTCGAGGGAAATGTCTTAAAATCTAGATTTAGGCAATCACGGTATTGTGGTTCCAATGTTAAGTAGTTTTGATACTATATGGCTTTCATTATTTCAGAAAACGATCAAGTAGTAGTAGACTTTAAAAAAAAGTCTTGATGTGGTATGTACATACCAATGTAACGGACTGGGTTCTTGCCACTCGAGCTCCTCCAGGAATCTTCGCATGCTCTTGAGTTATTATAAACATGGCAAATTCTCAGTGTTATGGCTAAAACGACAGCCCATTAACCAAACTACCATAGCGGAGCGGAGAAGTTCTACTTAAACACCTAATTGTATTTAGCTGTTTTGTCGAAGTCAAGAGTCCATATAACACGATTCCCATCTTTTATAAATCGTGTTATCCAGGCATAGTATAAGACACTGATCTACATCAACAACATTTTGCCCTTAGTTTTGAATTTCCTTATTAGTTTCCTCATACGTAACGCCTCACTGTTTTGTCCGATGAGGTAAGTCGCCCACCGCTGAGCTCGCGTGTCATAGGCAAAATACTGCCTAGTGACCAACTGTCTCTTTCACTCATAGGGTCGTGTTCTAGAATACGACTCTTAGACTCCTAGTGTTTTGAGAATTATTCCAAAGTGATTGCTAGCTTGAGTGACTTGAGTAATAGCTTGAAGTTGCACTCTCTTTTGAGAGTATCTACTCTTCGCTACTGTGAAACAAAATACTACTGTTTAAAGAAACTAAGCTCTCCTCTCTAATAATAGGGACAACCTGTATCGCGGGTGCCATTGACACACATTGACAACCACAAATTAAAGTCATGAGAAAAATAAACGTAGGCCAATATTTTCTCGGCCCGTGAATTGAACCCAGAACCTCTGCTTGGCGGTCCAACATGGAAGGCGTTCGGCTACGAAAGCAGTTTATTTAGAAATAATCTCAATGCAGAATACTAAATAACCTACTTCAAAAGTCATTCATCCCTTAATTTGTCACCCTTAGAGGTGGAATATTTTCTTCAAATTTAAATGGGACCACTTCTGAGGTTACCCTCTTTCCAACAAAAAATAATCATCAAAATCGGTTCACAAATTTTTTCACAAATAAATTAGTTATCGCGTAACATACATAAAAAAAAAACATACACAACAGACGAATTGCGAACCTCCTCTTTTTTTGAAATCGGTTCATAAGGCTAGGCGATGACAAAACAACAAAATAGTAATGAAAAGGGTGCTAAAACATATCTCTTCTGTTTGGGCAAATAATCACGTAACCTTTCGGTGAGATCGTGGTGCAGGCGGTAATTAAGACGCTAGAATCGACTAGACTCTAAGGCTCAACTCACATTGGCGCAGAGTCGAAGCTTTCCGACGCATCATATTTCGCTATAGCATATTTATCTCTATGTTCCCATTATTAAGGTACAATTTGAACAAACTGCATTGAATATGATTAAGTCTTACCTTACTAGCCGACAGCAGGTTGTCAAAATTGGCAACACTCAGAGTACACCTCAATCAATTACTTTTGGAATCCCACAAGGATCTATTTTGGGACCATTACTGTTCCTAGTCTACATTAATAATGTTCACGAAATTGGTTTGGAAGGCGACCTAACATTGTACGCTGATGACACATGCTTATTGTATTATGGTGATAATATCGAGTCAATAGCAAATGTAGCCCAAAATGATTTAAAAAAACTTCACACCTGGTTTCAGTGCAATTTACTTACCATAAATGTAACTAAGACAAATTTTATGATATTTTCAGCAAAAAATAAAAAGATCTCAAAAGTTCCAATATTGACTATTAACAACGAAGCTATAAATAGAGTAAACTCTGAAAAATATTTAGGTCTTATGTTGGATAGCCGTTTAACATGGAAACTCCAAATTGAAAAAATTAGGAAAAAAATATTATCTCTCATGGGTTCTCTCCATGGCATAACAAGATGTTTCCCGTTAAGTGTTCGGTATATAATATACAATTCGTTGGTCAAAACACACCTTGACTACCTTATTGAAGTTTGGGGTTCTGCTTGCAAAACACACTTAAAAACATTGCAAACAGTACAAAATAAAATTATAAAAAAACTTTTTCATTTCCATTATCTAACCCCAACTATAACACTGTACCAGAAAACAAAATTAATGACTGTTTCACAAATGTATAATTATAACACCTGCATACTGATTAGGAAGATTCTAAATAAAAATATTCACTCGCAAATAAATTTCACTAAAAAACGAAATATTCAAAAACGTATAACTAGGCGTGCTAACGATATTTACTTGCAAATACCGCGAACGAATTATGGAAAGAAAAACATAATGTACGAAGGAGCTCAAATATATAATAAATTACCAAAAGATATTAAGGAAATACAGTCATTCCAATTATTCAAAAAGAAATTAAAATTTCACATTATGAGGAATTTCTCAGGATTTTGATGTTTTTACTTTTATTTCAGTAGTAATTGCTATCAAATTGTCACCATGGCAATTGATATGCGATACTTGATTAAAGCCTTGTTGCTGTTATTTTTTTTGCTAAGTCAGATCATTAAGTTTTATTTGTATACCTTCTTTTAAATATTTAGTCAACACGTACTCTGTGTAGAAATTTTATGATACCTTGTATTTCTCGTTAAGTGAATATGTATGTTCTTTGAGAAATAAATGTCTTAAACCATTTTGTGTTGTGCAAATATGGAGTCGCGCGTTACTTGGGCGCAGTGAGGTATCAGACGCCGACCACACTGTGTTCCGTCACGCGTCGCCAGGCGTTGTAGTTGAAAAACAGGACGCGACGCTTTGACTCTGCGCCAGTGTGAGTTGAACCTACGACTACTTGACTCTACCATGTTTAGCAGTGGGACCCAACCCAACGGGAAGAAAGTATGGCTAGCACGGAACACGTGCTCACTATAAGCCAGAGTAGCAAGTCGCAATATTTCCGTTAAATATGTACTGAATGGAACATACATACAACTGATTGCAAAGACCTACTCTTCTATTGGGCCTACTCTGTAAACCCGTATTGGACTACAAAGTCGAGCAAAGTAGGATCCCATAGGGATATAGGTTTTGGTAATTTTTGTACATGGAGGTGACAAAGGGGCCCCCTTTGTCACCTCCATGTACAAAAATTTCGCGGTTTTTTTGGCCTTCGAGTTCAGGCCAAAGACACCGCTTCATTTTGATCTAAAGTAGCTTTACCATTGAGGCTATTACCTTCTGCTTCACGATTAAGAGGTCCCGCGATTTGGATCGGAGAACTCAAATTAACATCCTGGGATTGGAATTGTAATTATTTTCATCGTACCAATTCTATGGTCGAAAGCATCCCCGTCAAAGAGGGTCTTGGTCTCTCACACTAAAAAGATTGCCCTTGTACTTTTGTCTACAGTAACTCGTTATCATTATACATCTTCAAAAACTGTAATATAAGTAGTCAAAGGCCTTGCAAACGTGGGTGCGTGACATTGACCATAATCTATATCTCAGTATGAGCTTTCAAACAAAAGGTACAGCTGAGAAATACGATGGTGGGCGAATGATCTAGACCACCATACCCATGTAACACCTCTATTTTGAAGCGATGTTTAAAAATAAACTTTATGGGAATGTGCAAGAGGTGATCTCAAAATATATTTTGTGAAATGTGTTAATCGGGATTATTGGCCAAGTTCATTACTAATCCACAACTAAAGCGAATGCCAAATTTTAAATGATAACGAAATTAGATTACGCAGATACACACATAGAAACCGATAACTCAATTTTTTTACGATAATTAAACTTTTAATGGAGAAATACAATAAAAGCAATTTTTCTCGTAGAATTTCAGGACTATTTTTTTGCAGTTTTCTCATTGACTTACAATTATATGGACGTCGGGTCCGCGCTAAAAAGTGTCCGCACTTGTAAGGCGCTAAAATCGTATACAGAGCGCGACACTCCGCTTTAGTCTTCATTTGTTCTACGGACAGCGCGATACTGCGATGACATAACAATTTAAATTTCGAATAGGTTGACTTGGGACATTTTTTCGTGGTTTTTGTATTAGACCCGTCGTCCATTTATTTGTAAGTCAATGAGTTTTCTACAATTAACAATTTATTAACAACCGTAAAATTCATATCTTCGTAAATTTTATGTTGTACCACGATATCGTAGGTACGAAATCAATAATATCACACAGCTCTAAGATACGTAATTAGCAGGGATCGGAATAGGTAGAATTTTTTTTACTTAAACTTCGAGGAACATACACAGAAAATGGAGACTGCCTTACGACAATATTTTTCAGGTTCTGGACCTTTTCGAGATTTGGGAATTCACTTGAGAACATTAAAAATTGACGTAATTGGGGACAGGCAGGTACACTATATTTATCTTAACTTTGCGACCAACAGTGAATCAATATAATACACGTGCAATTTTTGCACATTTTCTGACACGTATAAGTAGTGAATAGACAAGTTCGGGCTCGCGTTTAGTGTGCAAATCTATAGAAGATAGGTCTAATAATACGTCTGTAGTGATTCCAAGACTAGATCGACAAAGATTTTGTAACGATGGGGCACTAAAGGTATAGTCCCATACAAAAAATACTAATTTAATTTTTTTTCGCACTATACTATTACATTTATGGCAAAATGTGATATGACAATATTTAATTAGGACAACAGGATCTCTCGATTGGCATTTTTTTAGAGAGGTATCGTGGAAAAAATCCAATTTCCGCAATATCGCAGATCTGACTCATTGTGTCGCAAAGTTAACATAAATATAGTGTACCTGTCTATCCCCAATTCCGTAAATTTTTAATGTACTTAAGTGGTTTCCCGAATCCCGAACAGGTCCTGGACTTAAAAGATATTGTTGTAAGGCAGTCTCCATTTTCTGTCTATGCTCCTCGAAGTTTAGGTAAAAAAACTCTACCTATTCCGATCCCTGGTAATTAGCCATTGGGTGTTCCAAGTAGTGCTCTAGGATTCTCATTGTAGGTACACCACATAATTGCTGTAAACGTAATGCTTTGCCACTTATTAAAGATATTTCAACGTTTTAAATTTTCAGGATCTGAACATCAAAAATGTGAGGCTGGTGATGGACAGAGAGACGGACAAGTTCAAGGGCTTTTGCTACGTGGAGTTCGAATACCTCGAGGACCTGATCAAGGCTATTGAAATGAACGGCGCGCTGAATGTCGATGGGAATTTTGTCAAAATCGACGTCGCCGAAGAGAAACGGAGTGACAGGTGAATTACAAGAAACACGTAACATAAAAACTGCTTAGGCTCAATTTACATTGCGGTGGAATGGAAAGGAAGCGTCAATTTCACCTCGCTGCCTGAGAACGTGCGGTCGCTAGAAAGCTCGAGCATTCGCGTGCTTTCTTCCTACTGCGCTTTGAGCCTATAGTATTTCATCAACGTTTGACGTCACACTGCGCGTGGCTTTGCGCCACTTCCCGCGGCTTCGCCAGGCATCGCCGATCGCAGTTGCAGAAGTCTCGCTAATGCGCGAGCATTTTCAAGAAGAATCGAGAATTCCGCGGAAGACGCCTGACGTGATTTTTGGCTCATATCTAGTTTGTATGTTACATAATTGACCATAAAGTTCATTACGCTATGTACAGTATCGTTATAAAAATTCACTTCCATTCCGTTCCGCCGCAATAGAAATTGAGCTTTTGTTGGACATGGATTCTCCTAACTTGTAACTAATTTCTTCTATTGATAACATTGATGTGAAAAGGTCATTAATCTCAAAGAAAGCAGTCCCTCTTTATATATTTTTCGATTGTATCCTTCTGGTCTAATGTCGTAACAAAGTAGTAGGTTGGTGAAACGGAAGTTCGTTGCTAGATGGACGAATAACAGCAGCAGCGAGGAACAGTTGCAGTGTTCCTAGAACCGTTAATTGTGATATTTTATTGGGAAAACCTATATATCGTCAGTGTTTTGTAGAAAAGGTGAAAGCGCCCGCTTTCTCTACAAAATACTAACGACATATTCAACATTAAACTTTTAACTGGTGACAATAATGTCATTACGAGTATGGGGCAAATTGCTAAAACTTGTGCACAAACAATTTTGCACTCAAAAAATTTTTTGTATTTTTTCCATTGGATTTTTCTCACTTCGTGCTAATCGGATCACGGTCGCATGGGAAACCTGTAATAAGAAAAAATATTCGATTTCAAAAGCACCAAATAATGCTGAAGCCACTAGGATGGTAGCATACCCCGGCTGAAATGTATTGCAGGGGCGGTGGCGGATTCGACCGCGGCCGACGGGAGGGCGGCGGTGGCGGAGGTGGCGGCGGCGGTGGCGGCGGTGGGGGGAGACGCGAGGACCGCGAGGGTGGCGGGGGGCGCGACCGCGGCTTCCGGCGCGACGGCGGCGGTGGTGGTGGCGGCGGCGCTGGCGCGCGCGGTACGTACGACCACTTCGACGCGCCCGACCGCCGCGACCGCGAGCGCGCGCCTCGGCACCCGGGGGGAGGGTTCACACACGGTAACACCCGCTACTAACCAGCGCCGCACGTGTCCTGAATGGCTTGGGCCTTTCGCTTATAATCGCGACCGTTGTAGGTCGCAATTATCTGCAAATTTTTCGCCCCGTAGACAACGGTGAGATACACACGTTACTAATCATACTTTTAATCTGATACGCGGTTCCTATGGCCCAATTCACATAGCTGCGGAATGGAATGAGAACGAATTTTTGTAACCAAATTTAGTGTCGTGTGTAACGGACGAACTAGATAAGAGCTAAAAAACAGATCACGCGTTTTCCGGAGAATTCGTATCTAGTTTGTACGTTACACGATTGACATAAAGTACACTATGCTATGTACTTTTTTTTATTTAAATGGACTTGTTCTGGAGCAAAGATAAAATGTGCGATGGAACAAGGTCGCCCAGAAGATGATCTGGTTGTATGTGCTCGGATACATGTACAATTTCGTTACAAAAATTCACTTCCACTCCGTTCCGCGGTAATGTAGATTGAACCTATAGGACTTCACTGTTCAAAAGTTCACTGAGAAACTTTGAAAAAAAAAATTGGTCAGTATGAGTTACTAATATTAATTTTACTGATGCTAATAAATATAACACGAACAGAAAATGTATAATACCTGTTTGTTTGTTACAGAAGGTTCTTATTGTAACAAATAATTACTACTCGTTTTGTTCATTCGGGACACGTGCTTACTATGTATGCAGCACTTGTTTAGTACGAAACATATTTTTTGATTAAACAAATAGTTGTTAATAAGTATGCCTACTTTCTTGCGAAACAACACAAGGGGTAGTCAAAAAGTATTGCCTCCAACGTTCTGACTTTTATATCTTTCAAAGTTACTAAACTATCTGTGCGTGGGATTATAAAGATTACCTTTAGTAGTTACTCTATCAGTAGAGCTCCTGTTGAAAGAGTTCGTCCAAGGAAGAACTCCACTTTAATATCTATTTCTGCCGCCACGCAGTTATGTAAGAATTACTACTTTCCGGTTTGAAAGAGTAAGGGTGCTGGTGAAATTACAGGCACATGGGACTTGTCAATTTATGTCGTAGGATGACGGGCGCAATGGTAGTGCCCCTCAGATCTTTGCGATTTAAAGCTCTGAGTGGCACTGCAATTGCTACGGATAGGCGTTTCGCTTACCACCAGGCGCACGACTTGTTCGTTCCGTCACTTGGTATTTATTATATGCATAGTTTAGTTTAGCTTTGAACGAAATAAAGGTTAGAGTGACGGAGGCATTACTTTTTCATTGCCCCTCTTATAATAAATAGATAATTAAAAACTAAACCTGTTTAAGCAAGTGCTGCATTTATGCTTTATTCCTACTCATTTGCTTTCCTATAACTTTTTCTTATGTTTTGTGACCAATGAAAATCTTTTTATTTTGAATTTCTCAACAATATTGTTGCTCATCATTTTACTTATATTGATTTTACCTCCAAGTTAATGTTTTATTAACTATAGTCTGTTTTTTACGAAGACGGAGTAAAATGACATTTGCATGGTTGCCAGTTTTCATAACATTTTAAATAGTCATGTAGTTGTTGTTGACAGTTTTATCGATACATTATGAAAGGTGGTAAAACTTTGCCAAAAATGTCTGAATTGTGAATGTTACGACATTGTAATGATTATTAGCGATAGCGTTATTGCCTTCTTTATTCTTATTTTGACAGTTGGCCTGCTAGTATCGCAATCAATTTTTATTCATGTACATTTTAATAAAGACAGGCGGATTTGATTATGTATATTAAATTAAAATGAAATACTTTCAAATATGTTTCCTCGTAGTATTTTAATAGACATAGTTCGAAATGTAGTGTAAGTATGAATTTTCAAAAATTGATAATTCAAATGAACATCTACCCAGCATTTGGACGAATAATGGGCCAATGATGATTTAAATGAAACAAATTCGGCTATGTATTGCATAAGCGTAACCAACATTCAATCGACAATCGACAAAATATTTATCGACTACAATCACTACCTGCATGCGAGCGGGCAACACTGTTGCGCTATGAACTGTCATTTTACTCCACCTTCAAAAAATACTGACTATATATGATAAAGTGAATTTTATAACGACCTTTTATCACATTCTATCTCTTTTTGGCATTAACAAAACTGCATGTGATCTCAAACTATTCATCTAATTATTTTACATACACAAAACCCTGGCTTGCAATACCATTACCACTCTTTTTTTAACTTAAGGTTTGAGGTAAGGGTATACTATAACATAAATTTTTGGTATTCAATAACAATAAGGATAACTGTAAAGAGGCTTACATTAGGAAAAGAACCAAAAGTTCGCGGATCGAGTTTCTACTGTAGAAATCAATCTGGTGCAAACTGTAGTCACCAGAATTTTTCAGAAATGTATGCCTATGGACATGCTTTACCACCCGTCAGTTGCGCAGCACAAGTTAGCGTTAATATAATGTTAGGTCTTGGGGTTAGTCGTTGAGCGTGATCGAGGAATCGAATGATTGTTGTGACGACCCTGGATGAATGACCATTTTATTTGTTATTATGTTAAGCTATATATACTTTGATGTAATTGATGTCGCGCGTGCGATAGTGGCTTATGAAGTGCGAATAGGGGTGTCGCTTACCGTCATAAAAAAATGGAGTATTGTTCGTTCTTCCCTGCATATATATGCGTGTGTGCTGTGTAAGAAGAAATGGTACCCCAGCTAAGCCTATGAAATACGCGGCGACGACGCGCCTCATCTGCGTGTATACGCGCCGTATGTATCGCGCATTTTCATAAGAAATAGTTTTAATTTTAGTTTTGTTTGTTAATTTCAGTTAGTTTTTGAAATGAAACAACTTCATGAAATTCTAAGTGTAACCTCCAGTGGAGTACATAAAGCTTCTTGCTTGGAATGCGATTTTCGCGCGTGTTTGAATCGATTCACTACAGCGCGACGCCGGCGCGTGTAAAATACACCGTGTGCATAGGCTCTTAGGTTTTATTATCTTGCATAAGCTTACTTGCAGTAGGGCTAGCACAATAAGACGTGACTTGCGCGAGAGCGACATAGAGCACGTGATTTCTATGCAAGAATAGCAGTATCTCGCGCTTTATGCCGCTCTCGCTCAAGTCGCGCCTTATCGCACTAGCCCTACAGGTTTTTATCCTGTACTCAGATGAACAATGTTAGTACCCATGGAGAAATGAATAAAAATGTTGCAGAGCGTGACCGAGGCGGGTCAGGCGCGGGCGAACGGTGGGGCGACCGCGATCGCGAAGGTGGAGGTGGCCGCGAGGCGCGCGGGGGCCGTGGGGCCTCAGAGGAACCGCGCGGCGCCGTCGAGTGGGGCCGAATGGGCGGACAGAGGGGCCAGGCGCCGCCGCAGGCCGGGCCACGGCCACGACGTAACTTCGACGACATGCCCACGACGCGTCCAGGTAACAGTAATAGTACGTTTCGATAAATGTTTTTTGTAACATTCTTAAACACCACACTCATTTCTTTTCAATTCCACATTTTATTTGTTTATACGAAGTCTTTAACACTGCTGGACACGAATCACTTGATTGTTCCATCATTTATGTAAATTCATTTTTCTTTATGCTTTCACGATTTTTTTTGCAAAAATTATCTTTCATGAATCCGTGCTACAATTTCATTCGGCAACGTAATTCCTACTCCTCAAGCGTGAATATTAACTTTCCTTTGATACATTTGTTTTGGCGTGTCGCGTGGTATATACAGGGTGTCCGGTAATGAATGTATCATACTGAAATGAATATAAACCATATAGCACAACTTAACACTGTTCCAAAAAAAAAGTAAAAAAAAATCTGTCCCATGTAGTACCTAAGGAATGTTTTTTTTCTTAAAAGTTAATTATTTTTATCTTAGTTTAGGTTTTTGTGCACTATGACTACAAATTAATGAATTTATTTGGTTTTTTGGTGTCATAATATTCTACGTTAACTGTGTCCTTAGATAAGCAGTAAATGGTATGACTAAGTAATGTACATTTAAAAAAAAAGTTTAACTTCATTTTTCAGAGAAACTGTTTGAAAGCATTTTTTTGGAACAGTCTTAAGCTGTGCTATAAGCCATTTCAGTATGATACATTCATTACCGGACACCCTGTATATCGTGACCATAATGTATTTCCCTCAGAGCGGGACGCCTGTAAATTTATTATTGTTTCATACATGGTTAGTGATTCTTTTTAAGAACTAAAAATATATATAATGTAACTAAGTATGTATATTTTATATTGTGTGTCAATATTGTATCATAGTTATTTATACATTTTGATTTATTTGTGTGTTATTTATCTGTTTTTATTTGTCATGTTATGGACCCCTGTTATTTATACTGAACTCAGTTCTCCGGTTGACTGGTAGAGAATGCCTAATGGCATTAAGCCGCCATTTGTACTACTTTGTGTGCAACAAAGTTTAAATCAGGATATACCACGGAGAGTGTGCGATAGAATTACACGATTTAATTCCGCCTTCCCATTTCCATTACCGTGGGACTAGGTGTAGGCTTGGGTTCCACCCCTATGTTGTGGATATTTCAAAGATTCGCACGAAGCGTTATGCTTCCACATTTATATGGCAAACGGCTATGGAGTGGAACGTTTAGCTTGGGCCTTTTCGAGGCGAGAGTGAATATTATATAGGTGTGTATGCTCCATCGTCGACCTCATCGTCACTTTCCTTCAGGTGAAATGGAGGTCAAATGCGCACTTATAATTTATTTAAAAAAATTAAAAATTAAAAAGCTTTTATCTGAATAAAGCTTTTATCTATCTATTTATCTAAAAATGGTTATGTTCAAAAATAAAAAAGAACTAATCTTGTGCGGTCTGATGGGCTAGCTTTATATAATTTTCTTTAATACGCGAGGTTTTAATTTTAAATCAATTCCAAGGTAGCCGTCGCCAACCGCACATCACTACTACTAAAAGAACCGGGCGACAAGGTTTGCCTAATGCTTCATTTTTGCGCGTATTATATTAAATTTATTTTCACGTATCTTAAATTTGTTTTGTCAATCCGGAACATTTTTAAGTCTTAGGGACAGCGGGACATGAAGCTTAAAAGCGGGACTGTCTCGCTATATGGTCACGTTAAGTATACAGGTTGTCGCAAAACCAACTTGTCGAGGAAAATAAATGCATATTTTTTGGCTGTCCGGCTTGGTAACCGTTCGGCCACAGAGGCAGTTTTAATTTAGTTTAATTTTATTGTCTATACAAATTTTGTAGGCTGATTTCACATCACATTACTTCATATTTACACACGGGCTTTTACCTATTCTCAAAGTAATGCACAGAAATTAACATCCTTTATAAGAAATTTGAAATAAATAGAACGCATCGACTATATAACCAGAAATAGAGACGAAATAAGGGCCATCCATTCGTGGCAACTCGTCAGGCAAATGGGCCTTATACGTGAGGCGCACTATAAGTTTCCGGAATGATAAGAAAAAAATACTATAAATGGTCAGAAATTAATTTATAGTTTCTCAAAATATTCTTCGTTAGCTTTAATGCACTTTTTCATACGAATGAACCAATTTTGAAAACATCTATGCCACTCCTCCGTGACAATCTCTGAAACATGTTTTTCATACTCTTCGACAGCCTCTTCAGGTGATTAAAATCGTTGACCGCGTAACTGGTTCTTAGTTTTTGGAAATAAATAAAAGTCACAAGGTGCCAGATTGGGATTGTACGCGGGATGGCTCATGAGGTCAACGTTGTTCACCTCCAAAAATTCATTTGTCTGTGAGAACTGGCATTATTGTGGTGCAAGATGATACGGCGTTTACGGTTATTTTTACGGAGTTTGTCAATAACTTCCGGCAAACAAATGATCGTGTATCAATCACTATTCACGGTACAACGATTCTCTATTTATTAAAAAAAAGAAGCAATCACCCGCTAAGAGGCACTTTGCACGCGCGCCACTTTGTTTGGTTTCGGCTCCTCTCGAAAGCCCCGTACGCTCGATTGCTGCTTTGTTTTGGGATCGTAACTATAAATCCATGTTTCGTAACCTATTGCTATGTCCCACACCAAATTTGACGCCCCTTCGTGACTCTGGTGAGCATGGCATTGCACCAAGTGACGCGATCAATTTTTTGAGTCTCAGTCAAATTGTGTGGGATCCACCGAGAGCACAGTTTTTTCACACCCAAATGGTTGTGTAGTATTGATTGTATTTGACTCATGCCTAAAATGCCCGAATCTCATGGTATGTCACATGCCTGTCTGTTTTGATTATACGGCGCACAGCATCGATGTTTTTATTGTTCACAGCAGTGGACACGACCGCGTTTGAATTCTGCAAACCAGCTATAAATAGTCGTCTTGCATGGTGCTTCATCGCCAAAAGCAGTTTGAAGCCGAGTGAAGCTCCGCTGACCTGTTAAATTACACTTAAAGTCGTAAAAACTACGAAAATTTTCACGAGTTAAATCCATGGTGATGTAGACAACCAATTTCTAAAATGACGCCACAACGTAAAAACAAGTGACACAGATGAAACAAACTCTACAACTAAAGAGTTCCATTTTCAAATGTTGTAATTAGTTTTTGAATATTATTTATGTAAGTGGCCAGTTCCGGAAACTTATAGTGCGCCCTATGTATCACTTTTAAATATCAACTCTCGTTTGCACTGAAATCACAAATTAGAAAACTGAAATAGTACAGTACCAACAACTGACCTGTATGTATGTCTCCGTATATTCCAAAAATATTCTGTATATATTGTAATAAAAATAATATCTCTAACTATGGGGGGCCGTTCCATTCGGTGGTATGGGGAAAACAGCAAAGTATTTAATTACAAAACAAACGGAATCACATTTCATCGGTAATTAAATAAGTAATTTTTCAATTTTCGTCTATTATAGCAAAGCTCAAGTTAAACTGGTCGATTTGAAGTGAAACAATTGACGACACCCGTCAATTGTTTCAAAGTCGGGCTGGCCAATAGGAGCGCAGTTGCGCTAAGTAATAATTTGGCAGAAAATTAAATGACATTTCGTCTCTATTTCTGGTTATATACTCGATGATAGAAAGTTTTCCCGTATCCCGTAATAATCACGAGATACAAGTTTGAGGAAGTAAGGAATCGATTTGCGTCTACAGACACATCAGGCAGACCAAAGCTGAAGCTAGAGCCGCGGACGGTGAAGGAGCCGGTGAACTCGCTGGCGACGACGAGCCAGGCGCACTCAATATTCGGCGGCGCGCGGCCGCGGGAAGAACGGCTCAAGGAGCTCTCGGGCGAGTAGAGCCCCGACCTGGCGTGCCGCGCTGGGCCTCTGGGGCCTCTGGGGCCTCCCCTGTGTGTACATGTATCGTCCCTCGCCCGACCCCTCGTGTGCCCCGATATTTAAAGTGCAGATTGTATATGAACTCGAGTTTTTGTTAGGTTATGAGGTTGTAAATCATTTTTATCGTATATTTTGTTAACTTTATTATGTGTATCGATGAGCTTATTATCGTTTTTAGCGCTGGTCGTGCCCTTTTTGAGCGAAAGGATCGGTGGTAGCTCGGCTTGTTGGCAGTATTTAAATTGCTAGTGTTACATTCGTCTCTTCTTCTAAATCGTCTGGGCATGTGTGAACGATAAACTTTGTGCATAGTATTTAATAAGTTTGAAATTCAACTCCGAGGAATAAATTTTTTCGTTCATTTTGTTATTATGCTTTATGTAACAATAAAACATAATATTATTTTTATTTTTAATATAGCTTGTGGCGATTTTTAGAGAGCTTCGTAATTGATTCTCTGTTGTAATTGTTTATCATTTATTGATTGTTTAGTTGGTTAGGTCGTGAAATTAATCATTGAATGAGTAATTATGAACATAATGTAAGAGTTGATAATACGGTGATGTAATTACGGTGTCATTAATAAATTAACTTCCACGTACTTGGATTTATACTTTTATTAGAATAACGTCTAATGTCGTAAGTTACGTGGCAAATAAATTAAACAAAAAAATCGCAAAATTGTAACAGAACATAGAAAAATGAATAAAAAGTGATTCTTTGTAACCGTGACTTTATCTCAAGTGCCTTGTAACTTATCCATTCCCTTCCTGACCTCAAATTACTCTGGAATTACCTATATGCACATGTTTATTTTTTTTATTTCACTTGTCATCTGGGAAATAAATGCGTCAACTGCTGCATGCATCTTAATAGTAACCTGCTTCTTAGTCTACTTCTGCTTGTCTATAGTTAAGTTATTCATTATCTGCCAAAGTAGCGACTATTATTGTAATTGATAGTGTAACATCAGGTTTAGACACTATCCCAAAAAAACATTTTTTTGTCCAAAATAATATTGCTCACAGAGACAAATATATTCAATTTTTTTTAAATTTAATAAAACAAAGTGTAACAAAAATAAATTTAATACAAAAAAATACAATTTCTTTGAAAACTTATATTTAAAAATGGTATTTGCATCAGTGGCCTTAAATAACAATCTGAAATTGTGTCCACAGTATATGCTGAAAAAAAAACTGTTTTAAAATGTACTTGCAAGTAACACATCACGGCACAGGGTCCATCGGGTATATATTGTTTCATAGCAATGATTGTATATTTGAGCACTTTTTTACCTATACTTACACTCCTTGCCTTTCCTGTTATTGCAAAATAATATTTTTGCACACAATCTCATACCTTCTCATGGTAATGCTTTTTTCATTGAATATGTAATGCAATCTTATAGTATATGCACTGATTCTTAACTTAGCCTAGGTAAAACAATATGTTATTATCATGGCAAGTGTTTATACCAGTTATAATGCCCACTACTTGATCATCCCCATTAATTCCAAAACGTGTCACGCGCGTCGTGCGTTCAGGTACATTCGATATACATTCTTTCTGCATTACTTGCTAAACAATTATTCATTTATAGCTAATTAGAAAGTAATATTAAATACTCAATCCGAGATGCTGGAATTGACTACATTTATTTATATATTTTTATTCAGAAAGGCATATCCGTATTAATTCTTACTGGAGACAAAAGTGAAGTTGAGGTCAATAAGCACCCAACTATCCAATCACTAGTAATGACTATCATTCAAAGTAAATTACCAACATTTGTCACTTTTCCGAGGCTCCTAGAAATCATTTCTGTATCTTGAATGTTAGCTATAAAACTGGGTATACAAGGTATACTCGTTAAGTGGGCTCAGGCGATTATTCCGTAATTATAAAAGATATCAAAAACCTTTAAACTGATATTGAAAGTATGTTACCGAATGAGTATAACAATTTCAATAACTTTTTAAAAATAAAACTAGAAATGTCCACAATTTTAACATTAAACTCTCCCATGTATTTAATATGACATTCGTATAGAGGCTTTAATTCACTACTTTAAGAGATAACAATAAATTCACAGATCTTTTAATTAAATAAAAACAAGTGATATTTATTTTCAATTAAGTACCAAATTTTTATTCTGCAAATGTCATATTAAATGTACAAAAGAGTTTAACATTCAAATTTTTGCTATATCTTGTTTTATTATTAAGAAGCTATTGATGTTGTTATACTCATTAGATAACATAATATGTACTTTCAATATCAGTTTAAAGGTTTTTGATATCTCTTATATTTACAGAATAATCACCGGGGCACACTCAGCAATTACAATCTATAAACAAAACATACAACAATAACATGTTGTATCACAAGTTCATTATATATCCAGATCCTCATCTGGGTCTTCTTCGTCCCAGTCATCAACCGCATCAGGTTCATAATACACCTTGCTCACTCCCTCATTGATCTTACTCATATACGGAAGCTTCAGCTTATACTTTTCAAGTTTATCTGTTTGCTCTATTTCTATTTTAAATGTCGATAAATTGCTTGGCAAAGGTTTCTCTGGTTCATCCTCTCTCTTTTCTTCCTTTATTATAGGCAATGATTTCAATGTTGACGTCTGAATGTTGTAAGTTAAAATTTCTTCAGTTTTCACAATTTTCCCGCTCTTTTTAAGTTGTACTCTAACTTTATTTGATTCTTTTGGATCATAAGATACTATAGCGTTTGATAAATGATTTAAAAATGCTTGTAACTTAGAAAAGTGTGAGAGACAATCTTTGTGCAGTATTAATATTATTTGAAGTACATTAGAATCATTGTTTAGTTTTTTCAAATATTTCAAAGTTTCATTCAAAGTTAGACAGAGTGCCATTTGATTTACTGAATCTAGTATTACAGTACCTTTTGTATTTGTATACTTTTCGTAACATTCGGGTTGAAATTCTTCATGATATAGAACGTTGGATTTTTCTCTGAAAACTTTTCTCCAATTTGAAATAGGTTGTTCGTAGCAAAACATATTGATAGAATTCTTTTCATGTTGCGTTAGAGCCGAGAGCAGTGGTATGATATTTTTGTTACCATCATCCTCTATTAACACTGTTGGTGCTGATCTTAACTTCAATAAGGCCATTTTTTGAATAAAAAACGCGGAAACAGTGAATCAGAACCAGTCCAATTTTCGTGGCGAATGAAACTTATTAACTTGGTACTATATTGGTAAATAACCTCAAAAGTTCGTGTTTTTTTGGTAGGCACAAATTCAATATAATTTTAAAGTAAAGAGGAAGTTATATACAATTTATCTAGTAGCGTTTGCAATAAAAACGTAATATTATATTCTGATACGCGCTGTTACTGTTTTTAACATGTTTTTACACGATTTAGTTTAGTATAATACATTATTAAAGAGTTTCTTCTTTCATAACTTCAATTCAACTTTTGTATCTATGGCTCCAAATTACAGCCAAAGTTCAATGAAATCGTCCATGAATAAAATAGATACGTTGACGTAAGCGTTCCCATTCAGAAATAATGAAAAAATTTCTGAACGTAAGTATTAATTTCATTCATTGAATGCTTCATAATCTCTACCTATCTCACCCATTCTAGTGTGATAATGAATTTGTCCATTTCCCTCTAATTATCAAGTTGCATTGCAATAATTTGACCTTACACATTTTTTACTATAAAAACCCTATGTACTAAATCTATGATAAAAACAGTGACGTTAGCAGTGATATTTTTATATAATAGAGTAAATGAATAGGTAATTTTCTTAATATAATTTAATAGAATAATGCTAAAGCGTATAGTGCCCCATCCTTCGCAAACCTTTACTCGCCAAATAGTTTGTGTTCCTAAGCATAAACCTCCTGATCAAAAGGATTTTGATAAACTACGTGAATTCCTAATTAAACATGAAAAATTGCTTATTTTGACTGGTGCTGGTATTTCTACAGAATCTGGTAAGTTATTAATGGAATATATTATATTTTTGTACTGAGGAGATAATTTAATTGTCAATATGGTTCTCAGGCATACCGGATTATAGATCTGAAGAAGTCGGTCTCTACGCTCGCAGCAATCACAAACCAGTCCAATATCAGGAGTTTGTAAAATACCCTAAAGTAAGACAGAGGTACTGGGCCCGAAATTTCATTGGTTGGCCAAGGTTCAGTGCTGTAAAGCCTAATTCTACTCATCATTCTATTAGAACCTTGGAAAAGGTGAAGAATTTTTATAAGCTAGAGTAGATACATGTAAATACTGTGGATCTTTATTTCAATACATTTCCGTTGAACATCCCATCACTTATTATCATTAAAAAAAACTTTCTTAAAACTTTACAGGCAGGAAAAGTGACCGCAGTAGTAACTCAAAATGTAGACCGTCTACACCACAAAGCAGGTTCAGAGAATATAATAGAGTTACATGGTACAGGTTACATAGTAAAATGCCTCAAATGCCCATATGAGATTGACCGGGCACAGTTGCAGGATGTCATGATGAGAAACAATCCATCTATGGAGAACAGCATCACTATGATCAGACCAGATGGAGATGTTGAACTTAGTAAAGTAAGAAGTGGTATTAATCTTTTTTAGATATTTTACTTTGAGATTTCAACTACAAAAACTATGTGTTTTCAGGAACAAGTAGATAACTTTAAAACACCTCTATGTCCAAAATGTGAAGGTCCCCTAAAACCAGATATAGTTTTCTTTGGTGACAATGTACCAAAAAACAGAGTAGAGCAAGTAAAAAAAGAAGTATCACGCAGTGACTCAGTATTTATTCTGGGATCAACACTTACTGTATATTCCAGTTATAGGATAATTTTACAAGCAAAGGAAGAGCAAAAAAGTATAGCAGTACTGAACATAGGTCCTACAAGGGCAGATGACATTGTAGACTTAAAGATTTCAACAAAGTGTGGTGATATTTTACCAGAGCTGTGCAACTCTATATGTACCTGATTTATTATGTAAATAAGAAAAGCATTTTTGCTTATATGTAGAAATCAAGAAATAATTGTAATTAAAAAAATATTTATTTGCGTTAGATATCTAGTCTACCTCATGTTGTGATTTTAAATAATTTTTTTTAATAAAAAGCAAGGAATCGACAATGGCATTTCATTTTATTGTATAAAAAAAAGAGTAAGGATACAAAATGGTTTTTTCACATAAAGAGCGTGGACCACTCACCTTTAATACAATAAAAATGTGAGGGATTGTAATTTATTAAACTTTTTAACTAACAGACAAGAGGGTCTAACATTACAACATACTAGTGAAATTTGATTCTACATATATTTTTGTTAGAGCCCTTGTTAAGAGGAACACTCGCTGATTCATTGCTCTTTGGACCTGCAACTTTTGTTTTTATCCTTTCAAGTAAATAAACAGAAGGGGTACTTATACTTGGCTCCGTCTCGAAATATAACTTACTAAAAAGCCTCTTTGTCCCACAAAAAACAGGCTTTTTGTAAATGCGTAATGAAGCCTGTCTATATTTTTTTTATTACTTATTAATCTCTAGAATATCATTCCAAAAGTTGCACATTCAAATTGATACAAATAAATAAAAACAACCCTATTGATTAACTCCTACATTGACTACGCTAAGCAGAATCTCGACCATTGCTGTCTTCTACTGTACAAAACAAGTTGTTATTGCATATTAGTGCAAATTTGCGTGAGGTGAATACACCCTATTAGCGATTGTCGGCGAGTAGTTGCGTCCAATTAAACAGACTGCGAGCGTCCAGTCCCAACTTCCAGTCACCATACTTACGCGATCAGTACTGCTCGTAAGTTGCATTAAGTTATTACATGTAATAGAACCAATTAAGAGGACCTGCTACTTGTGGGGACCTGGGATGGCACGAACTCGGGCGTGCTCGCCGTATATCGTCTTCAGGCTGCACGACCCCTCAAAATATTTATCACGTCGACTGAAGGAAAACGACTACTCTCAACCTTTCAAATAGTCAGCATTTTTTCGTCTCAGATTGTTAATAGGTATTTTGGTTTAGGTTCCCAAGAAGACTGACTATAGATAGTATTATTTTATCTCTGCTAACATATCGCCTTTGAACATATCTGATTCCATAATCCTGAACGTTACGGCACTTAGTTTATTATATTGTATTTAGAAAGACAGCTATGCGAGACTCCGTTTTGACTATACTATAAGTAAAATCAGATTCAGAGCATTGGATCGGATTTTCAGAACTTCTATGGGGTTTACTTGAGATCACATTTTTCTCTGTCATTGCACATCAAGCATGACACTTTGACCGTTATTACCGTAAGGGCGCCTTTAAATCAGATGCTTATAAAAGCGTCACTACTTATTTTCATACAATATTTAGAAGCGCAGTTGTAGCGCCACAGGCACTGTCGTCGCACGCGCGCAACACTTTTGCAGTCACAGACGCGCCAATGCAACGCTTCTACAAGCGCCTAATTTGATGGCGCCTAAGGCTCATTTTATATTGCGGCGGCATGGAAAGCGCGAGCATTCTCGAGCATGCGCGAGAATTCCGCGGAAGATTTTAGCTCGTATCTAGTTTGTACGTTACATAATTGATCATAAAGTTTATTATGCAATGTATAATATCGTTACGAAAATTTGCTATATAAATTGAGCCAAAAGAGTCGTCGAATTTAATTTAAACCTTAAATGTCCAGCTTGACGTGCTCTTGACCACGTACCAAAAACAATAATGACGTTATTTTAAAAAGTACTTAGGCAAACATGTTGAAAAAATTGATTCTATATAAATACCTAAATTGAATTTAGTTTCAGGAAGCGATGTTAAACATTGCAAGTTATTAACATTATAACACTTATTTGCTTATCTTTAACAGTAACGGCAGTGCTTTATTAAGATTTTTAAGGGGTCCAAAAAAAGGTGGAATAAATAATACTTTTTAACCGACGACAAGTCTATCGCATATGGCGAAAGACAGCCCGGTTGTAGTCATATTGTCTTTTTGGCTGCTAATTATTTGCCAATAGTTTTAATTCCAACTTTTCGTACATACTTAGTAGACACAGTTATCTTTTACCCCACACGATTAACCGGCAGGTTAGAAAACGATGCAATAGTCAACACTTACCAATATCGTCTATTTTTTTAAAATTTTAGTAATTAAAATTTACTTCGCTATACAAAATTGTTACGGTTCACGGTGAACATTGTTTGGCAGTTACATTTTTTATTGTTTTGGTTTTTTTTAACCGTTCAATTTCTGAAACTTTTTAAGAACAAATTCAATGCTCAACTCTATCGTATTAAACCCAAACACTATAAGGTTCAGAACAGTGTTTTGTAACTTTATTACAACAAGAATCCTTCGGCTATAATCCAGGGAAAAGAAGATTATTTCTTTTTCAATACAAATTGCTTATTTTGCTTAGTACAATTATAATGGCTGGATATAATTATTTAATATCTACTATACAGGGTGTAACAGAAAGGTGTGGTCATATTTGAAGGTCGGATTCAGTTAATGGTATGAAACTAGTTAGCAAAGTTGTTTTAGTACACACTACGTTATTTGTGGAAATTTCGCCATTAACAGTTTCGATCAGCTGATGTCATTTAACGAAAATAAATAGTCACATCACATCTCTATTGAGTATCATAATACAACCAAATTACGTAACTTGAAAAAATTGTGAAATTCAGGCATATTATTGTAAATGATAAAGTACTTAATGCCATATTCTTATTACTATGTTATAATTTACTAAATTTATTATTATTTTATTCATGTAATATGCGTGTGAACATTTAATGAAAAATAAATATTATCGATTACTTTGCCAAAATACACTACTTCATAATAAAACTATTATTTAAAACTTAGTACATAATAACGTAATATGGTTTCGTTAACTTCATATCTTCAATCATACAAAATACACAAATTTCCATTTAATATCCATTAATAAAACTAATGTCCTCTAAAAAACACATATTTAAAGTTATCTCTGTTTCTTTTTACCATATCATATGTAATAATACGCATTCATCTATTGTATTTTAATGAATGAAATTTGTCTCTTTCTATCCGCCGCGCCGGTACTGTTCTAACGCATGGCGGCTAGCGAATCAGCCGACCGGTATGTTTCTTCTAACGCATGACGCAATATGACGCAATCATCCGACTAATACTTCGCACCCTTACAATGAAAGTGACCCAAATCAAAAAATTTAAAAATGAGTTTATACCGTAAAACCATCTTAAAAAAATATTTTGTTACATTAGTCACACTGTGGTGAAGATGAAATTGTGCAATTAAAGCTCGAATAGCACTGATTCATAAAGGTCCCTTTCATTTTGTTCTTTCAGTTTAAAAATTCTACTCCCGCGTCGAGATATTAACGCCGCATTTATTGTTGAATCTGCATTTGCAAAGACAACACGCTGCCACTAACGGATTAGCATTTGAGCCATTTTCGTTCCGAAAATCATATTCAAAAATCGTCGAAAAAAAATCTAGTAGCAGTAGAGCTCCTTGTGAGTTCGTCCAGGGTAGTACTGCCACTTTACCGTGTTACAGTTTTGAAGGGTAAGGGTGCTGGTGAAATTACAGGCACATGGGACTTGTCAACTATGTCTCAGAGAGATGAACGCCGTAGCAGTAGCCTTCGAGCGGCAGTGCTACTGTTATGGACAGGCGTGACGCTTTTCACCGGGTACACGACTTGTTCGACCCGTCGCTTAATATTTAAAAAAAAAATATTTTTTTAGTAACTTACTTTTTAAAGGGACTGACTTTTTTGTTTCGTGGACTTTCTTCTTTTTTAATTGTGAAACAGGGATCACAAAACAATATCAAGGGTTATGACATCTTGCTTAGCTGATGAACATTAAAAAGACTTAATTCTTAATACGTTGAATGATAACAAAAAAATCGTTAAAAAAAGACCTATTGGCGACTAGTTTTTGTAAATTATGTTTTTAAATTGTTGAACATTAAAATGATCAGAAACAATTTTCAGTTGTAAAGTTCCATTTTTCCTCATTATTTTCAAAGACTAATAAGGCCATCACCTTTAGTACTTCAAGAGTAATAAATAAAATAATATGAAAATGTCACAACTTGAATCTTATTTTGCGTATTCCCAAAAAGTTAAAATTTTGTATTGGGACACTTTCATCGTAAAGGTGCAACCTGAAGGTCGGCAAACGTCAAGAAATTAGTTTTGATCGTTGACTACGAATTAATTATTATAATTTTCATCACTTGCTTGGAAATGAAAATATCGTGAGAAAACTTGGATTTCGGAGATAATTGCCGAAATCTTCAAGTGTCTTCGAATGTCAAGTCTCCAACCATTACTTACTATGCAAGTGTAGTGGACTAAACCTTGTGCAAAAAATAGTACTTTACTAACTTACATACGTCTATTGCTGAGCACACGTTTCTAACAACAGGTTTACGCTTAATTTGACTTATCTACACACGACAACTTTCTGTGTATGGGTTTATTACATGGTGAAATTGAAATAATTAACATCCGTTGAACCTATTAAGGTTCTTACTTCCTAATAATATCTACTCATCTAAAGAAATATTTTAGAATAGTTTAAATTAGCAATAGTGTAAAACCATAAAAAATCTTACCTAAATAAACAAAGTATCAAGATTAGTCGCCTTGCGTACGCGATACGTATTCGTAGCGAAGTCACAAGCCTTTGGCGGCAACTTTGGCGGCAAAAATATCACCTTTGATTTTCGCCGCCAGCATTTGATTTTATACATCGTGATGTGGAGTAGTGAATTAATGTTAGACTCGTTTCGGAGGTCGTGGATTCGAATGTCATAGTTGACTGGCTCTATGGTGTAGGTTAGAGTGTTAGGCTTTCGTTTCGGCGGTCGTGGATTTGATTCCCATAGTTGACTGCCTCCATGGTGTAGTGGTTAGTGTGTTAGGCTTTCGTTTCGGATGTCGTGGGTTTCCGATGGGTGA